ACATATATATATATGTATATATGTGTGTGTATGTGTGTGTGTGTTTATGTGTATGTATGTGTGCGCCTGTGTCTGTGTGTGTGTATGTGTGTGTGTGTTTATGTGTATGTATGTGTGCGCCTGTGTCTGTGTGTGTGTATGTGTGTAAATAAAGAATATGCAAAGTCTGGCACAAAGGCAAACGTAGCTTGGTATTTACGTAGCAACTACTTAACATAAAGTTAAACAGTTATGAATAGAATCAGATAGATAGATAGATAGATAGATAGATAGATAGATAGATAGATAGATAGAAGGCAATCAGACAGACAGATAGATAGATAGGAATCAGATAGATAGATAGATAGATAGATAGATAGATAGATAGATAGATAGAATCCCAGTCGCTTCCTGCTTATTTCACTTGATCTCATTAACTGCCTTGTCTATCTAACCATGACATTTCTCCCCCTACCACACCAGCTAAACCCACAAGAAATTATGAGAAAGAGAGAGAGAGAGAGAGAAAAGAGAAAACGAGCGATAGAGATCTGTCATTGGTCCAATTTCTTGTCTATTCTTCCTATCTATTTCTGTGCCAAAGCTTCCGATAATCGTGTGGAAAAAGTCTAGACAACTGACGTTTCCATGACTACAAAGACGTCCACTTTTCTCTGCTATTGTTCTTGCGAATGTTTTCCCAGCAAATGAGAAGCCGCTTCAAATGGATACCTCTCTCCCGTTGACTGTCGGACATTTTCATTCCAAGTCGGGGTGATTTGGTGCTTTTCAGAATCGGAAACATAAAAGAGAATAGACGATTAGATAAACAGTGCAGGAAACTATCTACTAATAAAAACGGGAAGTAATCAAAGAGGCAGAAACTTGAACTTTTACTCATTGTAACTTGGTTACACTTATGTATTTAGATATAGAAACATGTTTATAATTGACACACACATATATATATATATATATATATATATATATATATTCACATATTTGAATATATATGCGTACATGATAAGAACAAATAAAGAGAAGACTGAAATAGACACGTATATATTATATGCACTGGCTGAGATAAATAGTTATTATTGTCAAGGTTGACAAGAAGTGTAAGAGATTTTACTCTTGTTTGGGCTGGAAGGTAATGGTAAACGTTTCTCTGAATTTTTTGTTTTTTATTGATTTTAAGGTTCTATGCCAATATCGAGAACACATATTTTTTTCGAATATTCAGGTCGGTAGACAAAAATAAATAAATCTATAAATCAACCATTCGCTCTTGCATGGAATACCGCTGCCATTTATGGTCTGGATCCCCCGCTGTTCATCTGTCTTTTTTACAAATACTTTCATGGTAACTGCTCAGATGACCTACTTTCGCTGATTCTCAAACTGCATGAATTTAAACGGGCTACTAAGTTGACATCTCAATCCCACCCTTTCACTGCCGTTTCGTCTACTCCAATAGCTTCATGTCTCGCACTTCCTGTCTGTGGAACCCCCGATTACTTCTTTCCCTGATAGCTATAATCTTCAAATATTCAAATGCAATGTCAATCAACATCTCCAGATGCCTTGATCTAATTTCCCATCCTTCTCTTCATCCTTTCTTTTATCACGCCTCTTTACTCTCGCCCCCACTCTCTGTAACCCCTTGAGTGCTAGTGGCACTCCCGTCTTCCTTGGGGTGAAATGCTTAAAAATATATATATATTCTGTCTAATAAATAAACGGGGCGTCTACTTAAATATGGGTATTCGCTAAAAATATTGTGTAATAATAAAATCTGTCTGAATAATAAATAAAAACCCATCACTTCTTTAGAAATTACTTTGTTTATGTTTGGATATGAAACTGAGCAGATGTGAAAATTTCTAGAGTCCATGACAAGAATTTCACTTAAAGGCACTATTCGGTTTTGTCTGAGTGTTTAAGTCTTTCATAGCTGAGTCAGTCTAGAGCATGTCAGATCTAAAGACTATTCTCTCTCTGCCCAGTGAAATGCAGGTTTGAATCCTGCCAGGGGGCACATATTTTTCTTTAATAACATTTCTCAAATATCCAATATACAAAAATAAATATACTGTTTGATAAATAAACATAGTGTCTACTCAAATGTGAGTATCCACTAAAAATAACATTTGGAGTGATAAAATCTGTATCTAAACATCTATCACTTCTTTAGAAAATCTCTCTCTCTCTCTCTCTCTCTCTCTCTCTCTCTCTCTCTCTCTTCATATATATTATATATATATATATATATATATATATATATATATATATATATATGAATAAAAATGACAATAGGGAATGTGGACTTTATCAAAGCAAATTTGCTTTGATAAAGTCCACATTGGACGAAACGCGTCAGCAATTACCAGTTTTCCCTATTGTCATTTTTATTCATAAATATTGTCTTCTCTACTGGTTAAATCAGAGAATTTTTCATATATATATATATATATATATATATATATATATATATATATATATACCAGTTTTGATCCAGGCTTGTAGCAGTCGGATGTCTTCACACTGATGTGCTGTGATACAGCGAAACAGGCTTTTATGCGGATAACTATGTTACACTCTCATCATTACGATCAAGCACTATTGAGAAAAAGTAATTCCAAAACAGTAGCTATCACCACTATTAAGAAGAGGATTCATACCTTTTCCCAAGGGTATTAGCAAGTAAGTGAATGCAATGGATTTGACTAGAATTCAAACTTTGCTCTCAAATTTCTCAATCCAAGCCTCTCTCCATTATTTCACCATGTGTATATATGTATGTATATTACCACTTTAAATGTTATTTTCAGTGGATATTTGTAATTGAGTAGAGGGTTCATTTATTTATTAATCAACATGTTTATTTTCATCTACTAGCTGGAATATTTGAGAAGTCTTATTGAAGAAAAATATGCACCCTCACGCAGGATTTGAACCTGCATCCACCTGGGCAGAGAGAACCATTGTTAGACCTAATATGCTCTAGACCTACTGTACTATGAAGAAGTTAGACGATCGGGTAAGGCTGAATAGTGTTTTTAAGCAAAATTCCTCTTGTCATTGGTTCCTGAATATTCTGGCCGGTAGATGAAAATACACTGTTTAGTAAATAGACAGAGTGTCTATTCAAATATAAGTAGACACTTAAAATGATAACATCTGTCAGCTTAATAATTAAAAAAAGTACATTACTCCTTTAGAAAATTGCTTTGTTTCTGTTTGGAAACTGAGCAAATATGAAAATTTCTAGAGTCTATGACAAGAATTTCACTTAAAGGCACTATTCAGCTTTGCCTGAGTGGTTAAGTTCTTCATAGCTCAGTCAGTCTAGAGCATGTCGGATCTAAAGACTATTCTCTCTCTGCCCAGTGAAATGCAGGTTTGAATCCTGCCAGGGAGCACATATTTTTCGTTAATAAGATTTCTCAAATATTCTGACCAGTAGATGGAAATAAATATACTGTTTGATAAATAAACATATTGTCTACTCAAATGCTAATTATAAATCACAAGCAATATATGCAATCTTTTTTTCCTTTGTTCTGACCTGGCATCTCGACTTCAATCACTTTCCAACCGACGTAACGTGGACCCCCTCTTTTTTTCTATGAATATTTTCATGACAATTTTTATGATGATATGGTACCTAGACTACATGAATTTAAGCATACAACTTGGTAAATAGGTTTCATCGTTTTACTGTTAAAATATCTAAATATAACCGTAAGTTCTATTCTAACAGTTTTTTTTTATTCTCGCACTTATTGCCTGTGGAATTCTCTTCCAGCTTTTTGCTTCCTTAGCACTTACATTCTTCAAAATTTAAATGAAACACCAATCGTCATCATCTATCTTCCTGGAGCCTATTCTTTTATCGCTCTTTCAACTCACTAAATTCTTCTTATTCTCTTTCAAAACCAGTAAACATTTGCGTTATAACAAAGAAAAATTACCTCGTCAAAGCAAGCGACAGCGTGTCGTGTGTATCCTACGACGGAAACCGTGGCTAAAAAGAAAGTTACTTGCCGAATAAAAAGGGCATGTATTCTGCATATGCTGAAGACGGTATATTCAAATTAGAAACAAGCCAGTCGCAGGAGTCGCCAGAAAAATATTTTGATATGCTAATATTGTGCGTCCTCTCTCAGTTATCAGCGAATGACAATTCAGGCTCGGTCGATAAAAACAGTTGGTGTTCTCGAATTGGGGAGCAAAAAAAGACGAAATTCATGTATTTACCGACCTCGGCGGTCGAGTTATTTTTCTCTCTGGTTACGTGCATTATGATTTGTGACATAGTACCTGTAAATCGAGATTTTGACATTTCTTTCCGTCCTTAATCTTCGAGTCTGAACTTGATTTGTTCTCTTCGTTGTCGAAGTAATCTGCGACAAATATTTTCCTTTGGAATCCAAGAACTCTTACATAGGTCTTAGTGAAAGTATCGTCTTGCTTGAATTTAAATGATTAAAAAAATGTGTAGGGTACTAATTGCCCAATTTCATTTCAAAGAAGTAAAAGTGTTATGGACTACGGCTGGCGAAAACTCAATGTAACTAGGCCTATCAGACTGCACCATCAGTCAGGAGAGCTAAACTTGGAATGATAATCATAACGAAATTCTATATAATTGCGTCCACTCCTCGAAGTTAGATATTTCAAACAGCATTCGATGCTAGCTACATTGATGCGATAACGGAAAGCAGAAAAGCAGCACAGAGAGAAGTTCTCTTTTAATTTTGCAATTCTGAGATATGGGAAGTCAACCCCCAACCCACAAAATGATTCACTCAACCTCTGTTCGATCGAATACGTCTTCACCCCTAGTATTTTTAAAAAAAAACTCCACGCGCCTATAGAAATAAAACTTGTCAAATCCGCCATATTTCTCTCCGTGTAACAATTGCGAAACCTATTAGTAATTTAGATCGGTGTTCGGATCTGCGTATAATTCAGGATTTTGAATGCTGATTTTCTAGGTAGGCATACACGTCTTCAACTTACGGCCATATCACGTTGGAACACCGGCTCTAGTATGATCACCGAGGTTAAGCAACGTCGCGCCTGGTCAGTGCCTAGATAGGTAACCGCTTGGGAATAGCAGGAGCTGCAAGCTTGGATGTGCGGGTGGTTTAACCGATAACGGTCGGAATTTGAAAATATGAGAGCCGAGTTCCAATCCTAGTCGGGTTTGTTATATTCACTTACACACAAATACCATTAGAAAAGGTACGAATCCACATCTTCCCTTCACAGCTATGGGTTAAGTAATAAGACTTTTGTCAGTAAATCATTATTATCCCCAAAGAATTTTTACAATCTAAAAAATAATTCTGGCTTTCAATAACCTGCAAAGGATTGATAAACCGTAAAAAACAAATCAATAAATCAATCAATGTACACCTTCTCCAAATGATATAATCCAGAAGTACTATTTTCTTTATCGTGACCTTAGGCTAAACCAAGATCAATAAATAATTCAGAATATTAACCCTTTTTATTTCAGATTGAAATTCATGAGTAATAATAGTAATACAAGTTCAATCTATCTCCATTTAGTTTTCTGCTTGACTAAGCTAAGTTTTGTAAAAAGAGTGAATTAAAACCTAATTTATATCAATCATCTGATGGGCCCTTCGATATGGTGTATTGATCACTTACGATTGAGAAGTGAGTTCGATTCTCATTGTTCCCCCCTACTTTCGGCCTTGTGCCACATCTAAGCTATGCTTAGTAACAAGCTATATGTGTCATAAAAGTTTTAACAAACACAGAGAGTAGAATCTTCTCACACACACAGACATACGTACAGAGAGAGAGTAAGTGGGAGAGAGAAAGAGTTCTCGGCAACACAGCAAAATATTTAACTCGCACTTTGCAGCCATTATTATAAAGAAATATTACGACGCCGTATTAATGATATATTGAGAGTAACAGAATCCCGTGAGAAATCTCGGCTTGCATTCAGGAGATATTCAATTGTATGATAACATATAAATTAAAGAAAACAGTTATTTTTAAATTGGCAAAAAATAATAATAATAATATATTAAGACTCACAAGCATAAGCTGAGAAACATACCAACAGAATCAGATAGATAGATAGTGAACAGACTGTGATAGATAGATAGATAGATCGATAGATAGATAGATAGATAGATAATTTTCCAACAAAAAATACACTTTTTTTTAATAGCAAACATTATTATTTATTCATGAAATGGATATGAAATGAGATAGATTGAGATAGTGAACAAATTGAGATAGATAGATAGATAGATAGATAGATAGATAGATAGATAGATAGATAGGGAACAGATTGAGATAGATAGATAGATAGATAGATAGATAGTGAACAGATTTAGATAGATAGATAGATAAATAGATAGATAGATAGTGAACAGATTGAGATAGATAGATAGATAGATAGATAGATAGATAGATAGATAGTGAACAGATTGAGATAGAGAGATAGAGAAAGGTAGATAGGACGTGCTTTAGACCGTCTCTGCCACGAGGGCGTCGACTATCAAACAAATTCTCAGACTATCGAAACATTGTTTATTTTCGTCTACCGAACCGAATATTCGAGAAATCTTATTAAAGAAAAATGCGCGCCTTCGCATATTTTTCCTTCATAAGATTTTTCGAATGAAAACAAATATGTTGTTTAATGAATAAACTGATCGTTTACTAAAATATGGGAATCCATTAAAAATAACGTTTACGTAATAAAATCTGTCGGATTAATAAATAAAAATCCATCACTTCTATAGAAATTGCTTTGTTTACGTTTGGATACAAAGCTGAGCAGATATGAATTTTTCGAGTCTGAGAAAGATTTTTGTTTATAAGGCAATATTCAACTTTGCTCGATCGGCGACGCCCTCCATGGCCGATTCGTTCTAAAGCACGTCGGATCTAACGATGGTTTCTCTTGCCAAAAGGAGACGCATAGATAGATAGATAGATAGATAGATAGATAGATTAGATAGATATGAAAAACCGACATAGATATGAAAAGACTGACATAGATAGATAGATAGATAGATAGATAGATAGATAGATAGACTTGCATTTGATTCGTTCAACAATGGAGATAATATTTGTTTTACACTGCCACGCAACAGTTTGGAGCCAACTGCATAAAATCATTATGGACCTTTATTTCATTAATAATTTAAGCTTATTTAGCCGTTTGCTTTTATAAACGATGTTTGCGAATCTTAAAGATTCTAAAATAAATTATTGCATTTTTTGTGTGTCGTTTCACAGAAGATAGACCAGCCGTTTGAAACTGAACAAAACTTCATGCCAATCTATTGGGGCAATGAAAGATCTGAAGTTAGAGTCATGCTAATATGCAAAAAAAAAATGTAATGGGAATTCTTCCATCTTACTAACCTGATTGTAAGATACTTCTACCTTATCTTGCTTTTATCTTGCTTTTTACACAAACATCTTGGCTCAAATTTCAGCTGAAATAAATCTGAAGATTGCGATTTTGAAGGGCAAGATGACTCAACAACACGCAGCTGAGCATTTCCATAATGGAAAGTGTTTAAAGTGGTAAGAAAAACCGGAAGACCACAAAAGATAGACAAGAGATATAAAATAATGTCTGTGAGAATCTCGGTAGGCAATCGAAAATTAACAGCCAAACAAGTGAGGATTGACTGCAGTCTAAACAGTGAGGTTTCACTCGATACAGTACGTAGATTATTACAGAAAAAAAACAACTTGAACACATAACATGAGATGGTAAAAAGTGGCAAAAGTAATTTATAGTGATGAATGCAAAATAGGATTACATCATAACGCAAGAGAATATGTAAGAATATCAGTGAGAGCAAGAAACAATGCAAGATGAACCACAAAGATGGTGGACACGTAATGGTGTGAGAGCATAAAAAAGGGATGTTAGAAACCTAAGCACGGTGGAGTAATGGATAGCGGCTCGGATTGAGGAATCGGAGAGCTGAGTTCGAATTCCAGTCAAATCCATTATATTCCCCTACCTACTAATACTCTTGGGAAAGGTATGAATCTTCTCCCGCCCACCAGCTGTGGGTAAATAGCAGGAAAGACTGGGTTCTATAGCCTTGGATAGCAAATGGTCTACCGCAGAAAAAATGCCAACCTAGCGGGAAAAAATCTGCCTCGTCAGTCATGTATCGAAAGAGACATGATCGCCTAAGCGTGTATCACGCCTGGCACATAACTGACTGATACAGCGAAAACTATATTTATTTAATAGGGTCTAATCTTCTGTAACACTACGAAGATGGAGAATTTCTTTAGTATGACGATACCCCTTGTCATACATTATGTGCAACAATAAAGTTACTTGTGGATGAACATATCGATCAACTCTTGGAAGACTAGCCAGCACAAAGTCTTGATCTTAATATAATTGAATCATTGTGGTGGGAGAAACAAATGATCCAACGAAAACAACATTGGGATTACTGCCAAGAAGTGTGAGAAAATATTCCCAATGTGAAAATCTGAACCATGTTCCATACAACACCACGTCAAATTAAACCAGTTATAAAGGCAGCAACACTAATTTCTAACGCCATATGTTGACGCTTTGTACTTTCTGTAATAATAAAGAAAACCTTTTGCAAAAACAATATTTTTTAACTTAAGAAAACGACTGAAACTTGAAACTTGCGTTGGTGACCCATGGCCTTATATTCATCATCACTATGCTAAGGATGATTTATGATCCACCATACAGCATTAGTCAAAGTGAAGTAAATTGTTCAAAGATCAAATGTACCGAAAAATGCATACAACTAATCACTCTCAGTTTTGAGGTAATTAATTAAAAGTAATTAATTTACTAAGGTGGCTCAAAAGTTTTGCATGCCTGTGAAGGACGGTTTTTAATATCATGATAAAAACGAAAACCAGACTATAGAAATAAATTGTTTAAATAAACTGCATCAGTCATAGATGCAGTGCATGTACATTTGCTATAAAACTACTTCTTTATCTTGTCGACTTATTTGCCGCTTGCCCAGTAAAATTTACAATTATTTCTGAAATATTCTCGCGTGTTTATCATACGACAGATACTTGTAGTGAATACGTTTGCACGACACAAGTTTAACGGCAAAAAACGTTTTCATAGACGAAGAGACTTAATCATTAAAATAAAGACCATAGATCTGAATAAAATTTTCTTCTATCAAGATATTGGGAATTATATTAGAATAGCATCCTATACAACTTATAGTTATACCCTGCCTAGTCGAGAAAATCAATCGAGTTTTGCTTGATGATGTCTATGTGTGAGGTCATTATAAATCATAAACGCCATAATGCTGAATTTAAAACATTTGTTTGAAAAAAAGCAATTAACGACTTTATTTATAGTTTTTGTCTTCAATCAATATGGTATTGGATCATGAAAATGTGTTCTAATACGAAGTGCTCCTGCCGGCATTTATATATATATATATATATATATATATATATATATATATATATACAAAAGGAAAATTTATATTAGCTGATGCGTTTCATCCTCTGAGGGAAATGACATTTGCCTTGGCAAAGTCCCTCAGAAGACTAAAATGCGTCAGCTAAGATAAGAATTCCTTTTTTCTTTATTGATATTGTCCTTTTACAGATAACCTCTCTGAAATTTTTAGACAGACAGACACACACACACACATGTAGCATCAAAACGAATATAGATAGATATATAAAAAGATAGGGAGACAGACAGACAGATGAATAGATAATGACCATATAAAACAAGTTGGTTTAGAATTAGTTTCTGAGTGTTTAAACGCTCTACAATTAATATCATTAACCACAAGACGCATAATGAAACATAGATGAAATGAACACACACACACACACACACACACACACACACATATATATATATATATATATATATATATATATATATATATCAAAGTTAGTGAACAGTTATATGCTCAGTGCAACAAAATGTCTCCATATGTAATTAGTATTCATTAAATTATATATTATTATAAATTATTTTATATTATTAAATTCTATATATATATATATATATATATATATATATATATATATATATATATATATATAATAAACAATAGGGAACTAGGAT